TCACACTTGGGAGTGTGGTGGGCCAGCCACGATCGACCTTTCTGATCTAGTCTGACCCCCTCATTTAACAAAAAGAGAACCTGAAGCCAGAAGGGTTATTTGACCTGCCCACAGTCATGCAGATAGTGTCAGAGGCAGTATTTGAAACCAGGCCCTCTGATGTGAAATCCAATGCTCTTTCCCTGAACTACACTGCTTTAACAGTGTATAAAGAGCCAGGCCTGGAGTCAGAAAGATTCATCTTTCCTAAGTTCAAATCTGGCCTCAGAGACTTGTTAACTGTGTGACCCTGAGCAAGTCACTGTATCTACTTGCCTCAGTTTCCTCATCTGTAAAATGAGCTGGAGAGGGAAATGGCAAACCGCTCTAGTATCTTTGCCAAGAAAACTCCAAATGCGGTCATGAAGAGTTGGACATGACTGAAAAAAGACTGAACAACAACAACAGTGAAACCAGACTACCTGAAGGGAAGGGAAACCTGAATTATAAACCATTCCATAAAGAAATAGTGATTACTTTCAAGTATATTCAGTACCACAAAGTAATGACTGACAAATTCATGTCCTCCCAGGCCTTTCGAGGCCACTTTTTAAGAAGAGGGAAGGATCGTGTTAAAATGGGCACAGTCTTTGTTTGTATGCAGGATGTCCCCCAAGTACTCAAAAACAATATGTTCTCTTAAGCAGGCTTAAACACTATGCAGACAGCCTTGTTTACACCATTGTAATGTGCTTAGTAAAGTCATTTTTCAGCCCTAATAGAGTGATGAGAAATTTTGCATCAGTGAAATCTGAATTCATTCTGTCCTACTATCTGTTAATGTGCCCACCTGTCAATAGATTGGTTTGTCAAAAAGTGTTCTGTGGTGACTCCTCAGCAATGTTCTGTCTTCTCCCCATTTAAATTGAAAGGTTCCTGTGGGATTGGCCTGTCAGTCGTTCAATCATTCACGTGTGCCTTCCACAAACATTTTTACTGAGTGCCTACTAATTACGAGTCCCTAAAAGGATGAAGAGATAAATAAGACACAGTCTTTGGACTTACAGAGCCTATCATCTAGGAAGGGAGGAAATGTCTACAAGAGTGCCTACTATGGGCTAGGCACTATGCTAAGCATTTTTGAACATTTGATCCTTATAACCTACCTGGGAAACAGGTGCTATTATTATCCCCATTTTACAGTTGAGGAAATTGAAACAGACAGCAGTTAAGTGATTTGCCCAGGATAAGAATCTAAGGCTGGATTTGAACTCAGGTCTTCCTGCCTCTAAGCCCAGCATGCTGAGCCACCTAGCTGTCTCTGGTACAGAATTGTAGACATACACAAATAAACGTAACGCAAGGCAGTACGTGGTATAAACATGAACCCAAAGGAGTTTAGAGGAGTGAGAAGTCATGGATGGATGGAGGCTGCTGGTCCCGGAGATCTGTGAGAGGCAGGAAAAAGAGCAATGAACTTGAAGGCTTGAGTTTGGAGTCACTGGACAGGACTTTGAACCTCAAGTCTGCCTCCCTGGGTTTAACTTCCCTTAGATGTAAAAAGGAGGAACTTGGACCAAATTGACAGCTGAGGTCCCTACTAGCTCGGGCTGAAGCCTTCTGCTTGCATTGTCCCCCCCATGAGAACGTGGTTCCTTGAAAGCTGGACTGTGAGTTCCACTTGTATCCCGAGCACTTAGCACAGTTTAGGCACACAGTAAATGCTTAATAAATGCTTTTTTCATTCATTCAATCTAGACCTCAATTCACTGACCTAGGGAACTCCCAGGGAGGAAACTCCCCTCACCAATTCAATTAAGCAACTGTTCAACCACTTACAGCCTTAAAGAGCTGCCTGCGGCTGTGAGAGGTTAAGGGATTTGTCTAGGGTTACCCAGCCTGGGATTTGAATCCAGGTCTTCCTGAGTCTAACCATGAGGAAACACTGCCTCTCTTAGTAATAATAGGTCACATCTTTATAGCACTTAAAGGACAGAGCACTTTTTCTCCCAATAGTCCCATGTGGGGTAGGTAAGGCAAGTATTCCTATCCCCATTTTACAGACAAGGAAACTGAGGCTCAAAAAGGTTAATCATATAAGTCGTTAGAGTGATCCAGAGCTCCTTCTATTATCCCATAAATATAGCATTTGACCTGGGCCTTGAAAATTTTACTACATCATTTCAAGAGGCAGCACTGGAGAAAGAGAGCATTCTAGAGCAAGGGAACAGAATAAATGAAGGTACAGGCATCCAGAAGGCAAAAGGATAGCTAAATAATGCAGTGACTAGAGCACTGGCCCTGTAGTCACAAGGACCTGAGTTCAAATCCTGCTTCAGAAATTATATGTGTGACCCCAGGCAGGTCATTTAACCTTTGCTTCAGTTTCCTCATCTGTAAAATGGGGAAACAATAGCACCTACCTCCCAAGATTGTTGTGACAATAAAATGAGATCATATTTTAAAAGTGCTTTGCAAACCTTAAAGCACTAATAAATGCTAGTTGTTCTTACTTATTATAAAGCCTGTATAAGGAGTGGTCAACAGCTTGGTTTAATAGAAATATAAAGTTACTGCAAGGGGGCAGAGTGGTGGCAGATAAAGGATCAGACTCAGTGTGAACCCAAAATTCGGGGGGAATCCTGAGCCAAAGGATACATGAGGGGGTCCCCACTTTCCTCCCCAACATTGCTTGCTACAAATAGGGGGGGAAAAGCCTAAAAGAAAAATCAGAGACAGAAAGAGGGTGGTCCAGCTTGCTTTTATAGGCCATGAGAAAACAATGGCCCAAATCCTGCAATCTCATCAGGTAGATTGGATAATTCCTGAAATTGATCAAGTGTTCACCTCCGTCTCACCCACCCACCCATCCCCCAATAACTGGAGATAATATTTGTTAAGCACTTTGCAAGCCTGAAAACAAAAGGTATGCAAAGCCTTAATTAAATAATAACTAGAGGGGTATAGTGGAATACAAAACTGAAAAAGTAGGGCAGGACTAATCTGGGGAGCCCCTTGAATGTCAGGTGAAGTAATTCGAACTTAGTTTCATGTACAATGGGGAGCCAATGGAGGATGATAAGTGACAAAGTTCCCAAAAGACTTCATCAGCCTGGGACCTCAACAGACATTTACTGAGCACCTGATAGCAAGCAAGATGTCAAGGCTCCGCCATTCTTCCAGTGACCTAGGATTGCAACTTCAGAGTTATCCTCAACTCTTCTCTGTCCCTCACCCCACAAATCTAATTCAGTTACCAAGTCTTGTTGATTCTGACTCCAATTCTCTCCTATCCGGCCCCTTCTTTCCAGCCAACACCCTCGATCAGAGTCCCTGGTCATCTCTTGGACTATTGCAGTAACTTCTTAATTGGTCTTCCTGCCTCCAGTCTGTCCCCCAGCTCCCTTTCGATTCATCCTCCACTAAGCTACTAAAGAGTTGTTCCTGAAGCAGAGTCTGAACACGTCTGTCCATTGTTCAGTACTCTCCAATGGCTATCTATTACCTCCAAGATCAAATGCAAACTTCTCTTGTTTGGTACTGCAAGCTCACTACAACCCTGATCCACTTACTTTTCCAGGCTCATTACATATTCTCCCCTTGATCTACTTCATCTTCTGGCAAAACTGGTGTTCTTGCTGTTCCTTCTATACCACATTCTATCTCCCATTTCTGTCAGTGAAGTGGCTATCCTTCATGCCTGGGATGCACTCCTTCACCCCTGCCCCTTAGAATCCCTGGAAGCCTTCAAAGTTCAGCTCAAGGGCCACCTCCTACGTGAGGCCTTCTGGATTGCCCCAGTTGCTAGAGTCTCTCTCCAAAAATTCCCTTGTATTTATGGTATATTTTGGTACATAGTAAATTTGGTTTTTTTTTTTTCATAATACCATGAGTTGGTAGATAAAGAACTGACCAGAAAGACCTGGGCTTGACACCTATCTCTGCATGACCCTGGACATGTCACAACCTCTGAGTATTCTAGGCAACTCTCTAACACTATAAGTGTGCCGACCTGAGGGAATTTCCTCACCTGGGAATTCCCTATGCCAATGAAATTACAGACTCAGTCCCTATCCCTATATGGCGTATATTTGTGTCCACGTTATCTCCTTTATTATAATATAAGCCCAAGTGCATAGCAGAGAACAGAAGAAAACTTAGAAGGAAGCACAGAAAAGCAGGGTAGCTTTGAAAATAATGCATAGTATTTATTACATAGTTTTGTTCTGCTTTTCCAAAAAAGCAAACAGTGTGAAATAGAGATTCATGATTTTATATTGAATCCTCTTTTTGTGTTGCATTGTGCACATGGAAATAGTCTTTTTGTATTTAAGTTCAAAATGAATAAATTTTTTTAAAAGAATTGTAAGCTCCTTGAAGGCAGGGACTGTTTCATTTTTGTCTCTATATCCAAACACTCAGCATAGTGCCTGGTATATATGAGGCACTTAATAAATGGTTATTAATCGAGTAATTGACTAACCTTATTGTTCCCATCAGACTGAGAGCTCCCTGAGGGCAAGGATTGTGTAAGTCAGTTGGTCAATAAGCATTTATTAAATGCTTACTGTGTGCCAGGCACTGTGCTAAGCAATGAGGATACAAAGAAAGTCAAAAAACACTTCTTGAGGTCCCTTGCCCTCAAGAAGTTCACAATCCAATAGGGAAGACAAGTACATTAACAAGGTGCATACAAAGTATCCAGAAAGTTGATGGAAAGTAATCTCAGCGGTAAAGGGAGTGGAGGGGACCAATAAAACCCTCCTATACAAAGTGGGATTTGAGACCCTCACTAAAGAGTGGAAGTTGTCCCTTTATTGGCGTCACTTCAGGACTACGTTGACATGAAAGTGGGTCTTAAAGTGTCCTTGCCTTGACTTCACTGTCCCCATGCTAACATAACTTTCTTCCTAAGGGTATTGAGACACTACAGTAAGAAATTCCCCAGCTAAAAGACAGACAGAGACAGAGAAGCAGACCAATGAATGCATTTATTGAGGAATGAGAGCAGTGGTACCTACCTCTCTCCATTGCTTGTTCTCCATTCCTTGAGTGTACATCACACACACTGGGGGAAAAAGAAAGACACAGGGGTTAGAGACCTAGACAAAGAGCTGAAGAAGGCAGAGTTGAGGAGAGGAGGAAGGTATGCAACAGGGGAGTGGGAGCTCCACAGGGTTTTTTGTCATTCAGTTGGGTCCTGCTTTTCATGACCCCATTTGGGTTTTCTTGGCAAAGATACTGGAGTGGTTTCCCATTTTCTTCTGCAGCTCATGTTACCAATGAGCAAACAGGATTAAGTGACTTGCCCAGGGTCACACAGCTAGTAAGCGTCTGAAGCTAGATGTGAACTCAGGTCTTCCTGACTCTAGGGACAGTGCTCTGTCCGCTGCACCATCTTGCTGCCCTAGAGTAGAAAAGTTCTCTGAGTGGACTCTGGGAAAGTCAGTCAATTAGTATTTGTTAAACACCTACTATGTGCTAAGCACTGTTCTAATCACTGGGGATGCAAAGAAAGGCAAAAGACAGTCCCTATCTATCTAAGAGCTCACTATCTAATGGGGGAGTTTTTATTGTTGTTATGTCGATTTTTAGTCGTGTCTGACTCTTTGTACCCCATTTGGGGTCTCCCTGGCAAAGATTCTGGAGCAGTTTGCCATTTCCTTCTCTAGCTCACGTTACAGATGAAGAAACTGAGGTAAACAGGGTTAAGGGACTTGTCCAGGGTCACCCAGCCAGTAAATGTCTGAGGCCAGATTTGAACTCAGGTCCTCCTGACTCCAGGGACAGTGCTCTATGCACTGTGCCACCTAGCTGCCCTAGCTCCCTAGTGGAGGAGACAACATGCAAATAACTAACTATGTTTGAACAAGATATAGAGAGATAAATTGGAGATTTGGAGATAATCAACAGAGGGAAGGCACTAGCATTAAGGGAGATTGAGAAAAGCTTCTTCAGAAGGTGAGACTTGAAGAAAACCAGGAGGTGAAGGTAAGGAAGGAGAGAGTCCCTGTATGGGGGACAAGCCAATGAAAATCCTTAGAGTTGAGAGTGGGAAAGCTAGGCCTAGGATATTTGTGGGCCTCCCTCCCCAATAGAGGGCTCACCTAATGTCAAAGTGGAAATGACATTTGACATCATTTAACCCAACCCCTTCATTTTACAAGGTAAGAAACTGAGTCCTAAAGAATGCTTTGGGGAAAAGAAGAAAAAACAAAAAAAACAAAAAAACAAAACAAAACCCACAAGGCTACCAAATGGCAGAACTGGGACTTGAATCTGGGCTTTTTTATTTCAAATCTAATGTTCCTTCCACTCCATCACGTTGTCTCTTACCTTGTTGATTTGGTTTCTATTCTCACCTCCATTGGCTTGGGCCAAGGTAGGTCTATAGCCATGAATCAAATAGACATGTGTTCACTCCTCCTTCTTCCTTCCACCTCCTCCATTAGACCATAAATTACTCAAGAACAGGGACTAGGCTCTTTCTTCTGCTTTGTATCCCCAGAGTCGTGCAGATAATCCATGTTTAATAAATATTTGGTTTAATTGAATTCTGTCAATCTGCAAGGCCTAAGCTAGGTCTTCGGAGAGGGAGGCAGATTCAGATGACTGTGGAGGAGGGGGAGAAGCTGGGAGGGGAGGGAATGTGCACAAATTTAACTGGAGAATCCTGGAATCATAGAATGGGGGGGGCAGTGGGAGCGAGTGCACTTTGGAGGCAGAAAGACCAATAAAGAGGAAGAATCTGATGAGAGCAGGAGCTGAACATTCTGAAGAAGGGAGTGATCACAGAAGTGCTTTTATATAATTATCTCATTTGATTCTCAAAATTACCTTATGAGGAGGTAAGATAGGGTGGGGGAAGGGATAGGGAGAGAGACAGAGAGACAGAGAGAGAGAGCCCTATTATTTATTCTTTTTTATAGATGAGGGAACTGAGTCCCAGAGAGGTTACTCGGATTGCTCCAGGTCACACAGCTAGTTAGCCACAGAACCAGAAGAAAGCAGGTCTCCTAATTCCTGGCCCAGGAGTATTTCCATTTCACACCTTCATGGGCCTCACCGCTGAAATCCACCCCAAGTGGATTTGCTAGCTGTGTGACCTTGGGCCGATCACTTAATTTCTTTTAGCTTCAGTTTCCTCTTCTAAAAGAGGAGAGGGCTGGCCTGCACATCCTTGGATCGGGGCAATGCCTAATGTTCTATGATATGTGATAAAGGTCGCAAGGCATAGTAGACCAAGTGCTGGATTTGGACTGGAATGGGAAAAGAAGGAACAAGCATTTCTTAAGTGCCTACTGTATACCAGGCACTGTGCTAAGTGCTTTACAAATATTATCTCATTTGAGCCTTGCAACAACCCTTCAAGTATTCCCATTTTACAGCTGAGGAAACTGAGGCAGATTTAGCCCAGGGTCACATAGCTAGTAAGTTCTCTGAGACCACATTTGAACTCGTGCCTTCTAGGGTTCAAATTCTGCCTAAGACACTTACTAGTTATGTGACCTTGGGTAAGTCACTTCCATTCTCTGCGCCTTAGCTGCCTCAGCTCCCTCATCTGTAAAATGAGGGCGCTGAATTCAACAGCTTTTGAGGTCCCTGCCAGTTCTAAATCTATGAAACTATAATAGTTTGACATTCTGAAAATTTATACTACATTCACCACCACTATCCCCTCCTGTCTTAATATAGGCTTAGCAAGGTTCAGGAGACCCCAAAACCTAATACAAGGAAACATGGAGCTTATAAGACAGCTACAAACCAGCTTTGTTGAGGGGAAGCACTCACAAAATGAAGGGATGGTCAGGGAGGATGGACAAAAGGAGTTAGGTGCCCTACTGGGACCCTGAAGAGAATGGGGGACCCTCTACCAAATCAGTAATGTCTGATGAGTTTTTCTTTTCTTTTTTTTTCTTTTCTAGGCAATGGGGTTAAGTGACTTGCCCAGGGTCATGCAGCTAGTAAATGTCTGAGGTAGGACTTGAACTCAGGTCCTCCTAACTTCAAGGGCAGTGCTCTATCCACTGTGCCATCTAGCTGCCCCTCTGATGAGTTTTTACATGCTTCTTTCAAGGGGAAGGTAGGTGGCACAGTGGATAGAGTGCCAAGTCTGGAGTCAAGAAGACTCATCTTCCTGAGAGCAAATCTGACCTCAAACACTTATTAGCTGTGTCACTGTGGGCAAGTCACTTCACCCTGTTTGACTCAGTTTCCTCAGGAGCCTCTACCTATCCACCAGGCAGTATCAGTGAAATAGCAAACAGTATCTCAGAGCAGTATAGGGACTTACATGGGTCTGACTTGGAGAACATGTCTTTATCCAAGAGATTTCTGAAAGAAAAGGAAAAGAAAAGACCATTATTGCCAGAGGCCTGGGGAAGGTCCCAGCACAAGGGAGGAGTTTAGGGAGGGAGAGCCTCAGTTTACCAAAGGCCCAAGGGAATGAACCTCAGGTGAGACTACAGAACCAGCCAAGGTGTCTCCTCAAAACAAGCACCTGCCTCCATTTCTGATGACTCTTCCCTTCCCTTTCAAATACTTTAAGCACAAACAGACATATACACACAACACATGGACACTGGATATTCTGTTCTTTCATGCTGATCCTGCTTCCTCTTCTATGTGACGACCACTCCTGATCAGCTCCATGACTCAGACCTTTCTAGACATTCCTGCCTCTTGTGTACTCCTCTCCTTCAATTCATTCAGTAAGAATTCATTCCATTTAAAATAACTGTAGGAGCAGTTAGGTGGCACAGTGGATAGAGCACTAGACCTGGAGTCAGGAGGACCTGAGTTCAAATCCAGCCTCAGACACTTACTAGCTGCATGACCCTGGGCAAGTCACTTAACCCTGATTGCCTCCAAAAAAAAAAAAGGTAAAGTAACTGTAGACAATATAAAATACTTGGGAGTCCACCTGCCAAGACAAACCCAGGAACTATGTGAACACATAAAACAGTTTTCACACAAATAAAGTCAGATTTAAACAGCTGGGAAAATATCAGTTGCTCATGGGTAGGTTGAGTCAATATAATAATAATAATAATTATTATTATTATTATTAAGTGACTAGTATAAGTCAGGCACTGTGTTAGTCACTGAGGACGCAGAGACAAAACAAAACAATCCTTGCCTTCAAGGATCTTCTATTCTATTGGAAAGAAGGTAGTATAAGAAGATGACCAGATGAGTAAATACAAGAATTGGAACACAGAAAGAATCCCAAAGCAAAAAAAGGAAATGGGAAGGGCCTTGTGTATGTAGAGCATTTATTAGCCTGTTCAAAGATGGTGTAACTGGAAATTGTATCACCCAGTCTGGGGCAAAGGTGCATGGGGAAGAGTGAGACAAAATAAGTCTGAAAAGGTAAGTTAGAGCCAATCAAATCTGACATGTCCTGTGTCCCATTGTCTTAGGGCTCTGTTAAGTGATAGCTAATCTGTGCTGGTTAGAGGCAGGAGTCTGGGGTAGCATGCTGTCTGAGAAACCCAGCCACAACCTCCAATAACACTGAGCAGCTTCCTAATGACTTCCTCAGGAAGGAGAGGAGAGAAAAGATTACCCCAATGAAAGGGACAAGACAAAATTGTTGAAGAGGTAAGAGGATTTTCCCCCAGCCTCAGATATCAGTCAATAAGCATTTATTAAACACCTACTACATATAGTGGCTGTGTGACCCAGGACAAGTCCTTTGATATCTCAGTACCACAGGCAGCCAAGATAATAAATTGCAGAGAAGGTACAGACCTGCATTGGTGAAAAGAGTTTCCTCATCCAGAAATTCCCTGTATCAATGAAATTACAAGGGCAGTTTCTATAGGAGTTCTGGGGATACAGAGACAAAAGTGAAACAGACCCACAAGGTGTTGCTAGAGGGAATGCCCCAAATGAAGAAACACTCTTTATCAGTGCAGGCTGGCATCTTCTTTGCAATTTGTAGTCTAATAGAGTTGCTTAGACTAAGGAGTGGTTAAATAACTACAGGATCAAATAGCCAGTAGGTATCAAGGTTTTTGCTTCTGTAACTATACTTTTGCTAGTATGAAAATGTTAGGCTTGGGAAAGCCCAAAAAGAGGAAATTAAAGGGGAAATTATTTTTATATTGTTTGGGGGAAAAAACATTACACTGTTTAAATCACCCAGAATGTTTAAAGCACCCAGAAGGTCACCTGACTCCAGTAACTCTCCAGGAATGCTGGAGATGTCTACAAGGTATTTTGAGTTTCCCCAGGTCTTGGATTTCTGCCTCCCCCAAAGCATTGTCATTTTGGGTTGTGGTTCATCCTGCATTTTTGATGAGGACATCATGGAGTGATGTCTTGACTTGAGAGTGAACTGGATTTAAGTGAGGCAGAGTTGCACAAAGACATCAGCCTCACTCTGTCTTCAAGAGTTATCAAAATCCAGTGGCAAGACAAAAATCAAGATGACTGGTGATGGCCAGGGATGGATGACTGACATCTTTGATGTCTGACTAAGCTCTAAGCCCTCCACAGCTCCTGCTTCAGCCACCTTCATGGCCATTGGAACAAACTGTTCTCATCTGACCATTCCTTCCATTTCTGAAAATGTTGTCTCATTCTGCATCATTAGTCTCTGAAGTCATGACTGGTCACTGTATTGATTAGAATTCCTAAATCTTTCGAAAGTGATTTCCTTTTCATTGTCATTGTAGAAATTGCTCCTCTGGTTCTGCTCACTTCACTGGGTGGATGTCTATACGTGCTTGGGGTATACATCACCCTAACTCAACAGGTTTGAGGACCATTGGTTACCCTTAACCTGGGTTAGCCTATCTGCTGAGACAGTTTTACTGGGATGTGATTGCTGTTCATGCTGTAGCTTCTTGGAGACACAAGTGAGAGTTGGATGACAGGTGGACACCAAAAATGGATGAGTAGCCTTGAAAAGGGCTTGACAAGACCTCATATCAGAGGTGCTAGTTGTCCCTGAACACATGATTGTTTTGGGTTACCACACCTAGGACTTGTGATGGGTCCATTCAAGCTTCTGTTCTGGCTTCACCCAAATTTTATTGAAATTTTACAGTTCCTCATATCTATCTCAATCTACCTTGCTTTCAAGTTGCCCTCTTGGCAAAAATGCTTAATTGTGTAAATGTGGTTCATTTGCAGGCACCCTTGTCTAAATCCTATATAACATAAACCTTCCAGAACCTGGACAAAAGAGAGCCACACCTCCTTTCTGGTTTGCTCTCCTCTACCAAATGACCTCTAAAACTATTTTAGATTTTGGGGTCTGTTCTCAAGAGCAACACTACTTTAAAGACAGGCTTATATATCCACTTTATCATTGGGCCTTAAGAAATGATGGATTCCAAGAAAACTGGGAGGACTCATATGAACCGATGCAGAATGAAGTGAGCAGAACCAGAGGAACAATTTCTACAATGACTTTGAAAAGGAAATCACCTTTGAGAGATTTAGGAATTCTAATCAATGCAGTGACCAATCATGATTTCAGAAGACTAATGATGCAGAATGAGACTTAATATTTTCAGAAATGGACAACAATTGAATTTGTTTTGCTTGATTAGACTTTTTTGTTACAAGAAAGGATTTCTATTTGGGAGGAAGGAAAATTGTGGGGGAGAGGGAGGGGTAGAGACTGGGTAATGATACAAAAAGAAAAAAAAGAAAGGAAAGGAAAAAACTGTCAATTAAACATTAATATAATTACCCAGCTCCCATTGGTTCTAATTCTTCCTTACAACATGACTAATGTGAAAATATGCTTAATATGAATGCATATGTAGAAACTTTATCAGATTGCATATCATCTTGGGGAGGAGAGAGGGGGAGAAAATTTAAAACTCAAAATCTTATGGAAGTAAATGTTGAAAACTAAAAATAAATTAATTAATTTTTCAAAAAAAGAAAGAAAAAAAGTGAAAAATATATATAATTACCCAGAATAAAGCAGATGGAATTTCAGAAGGAGACGCCAACAAGCTTGCCAGTTTTGCTATGATCATAATATACATTTAAAACTATATTAACTATATTACTATTAATACAGTTATTACCAGGTAATACAGTTAAAACTATATTTTGAGTAATATAAATACAGGTAAACTTATATTACCATTTCATATGTAATCCTCTTTTTCTTATTTTTTATACTGAAATGTTCATTTTATTGAGGTTAAATTTATAATATAAGATGTATGTTGAAAAGCCAAAACTACAAGAATAAAATAAAAAAGAAGAAAAAGAAAAAAGTGATTTTTTAAAAAAGCATCAGTAAAACATACTCTCAAAAAGAAAAAGACTGTAGTCAGGAAGGTCAATTAGGAAGCTCTTATGATAGTATAGGAGAGAGGTAATGAGAGCCTGAACTAGAGAGCTAAGATAGAAAAGAGAGGAGAAATTGAAGACATGTTTCAGAGTCAGAATCAACAGGATTTGGCAACTGCTGGGATGCCAGAGAGGAGGGACGGGGAAGAGTCAATGAGAATACAGGAGACAGAGTGAATAATGGCACCATTGACAGACAGAGTGAGGTCAAAAAGAACCTAAGCTTGGTTTTGGACATGGTGAGTTTGAAAGGCTGATGGGACAGGCCATTGGAGATGTCAAACTGAAATTCAGGGGAGAAGTTGGTGCTGAAAATAGAGATTTTATTTTAAAATATAGATAGACTCATCTGCACAGAAGTGATAACTGAAGCCAAGGGAGTGGATGAAATTTGCCAAGAGAGAAGAGGACAGGGCCCAGGACAGAGCATTAGAGGGTACCCACACACAAGGCACAGAAGGAGAAAAATGAACCCATTTGGAGATAGAGTAAGACTCATATGCAGACAGGTAAGCCAAGGGCACAGTGAACATTGAGAAGAAGGTCTGGTCAATCCTGTTTAAAGGTGTGTCAAGCAGGACAAGGACTAAGAGGCTACTGGTAAAGGTAAACTATTGTAGTGGAATGAGCTCTGGGTTTGAGTCAGAGGATCCTGGTTCAAATCCTGCCACTGATCATCTGAGTGATCTTGGACAAGTCACTTATCCCCTCTAGGTCTCAGTTTGCCCATTTGCAAAATGAGTTAGTTGGAGGAAATGATTTCTAAATTCTATGATCCTGTGATTTAACAACTAGGAGGCTATTGGTGACCTTAAAGAAAGTAATTTCAGTTAAGATGGAGCTCAAATGCAGTGACTGAGGAGTGAGTGGGTGGTGAGGAAGTGAAGGCAGCTAGTGTAGATTATATTTTTCTAGAAATTTAGCAGCGAACGTGTTTTTTCTGCCTTTTTATTCTTTGTTGTAAGGGACTGCTCTCTGGTGGGAGGCGAGAGAAAGATAGAGAGAGGGAGGTAGAAA